TCCTTTGCAACTTCTACAGCTGCATCATTGAGAGCATCTTGACCAGCTAGATCACTGTCTGGTATGGCAGCACTACTGCTATGGACTGCAAGCGTCTGCAGAGAGTGGTAAAGACTGCAGAGAAGACCAGGACTCCACTGCCCTCTCTGTAAAGCATTTACCACCGCAGGGTGCGTAGGAAAGCTGCCTCCATCCTCAAAGATCCCACCAACCCCCAGCATGGACTGTTCGTCTCCCTACCCTCTGGCCGGAGGTTCAAAAGTGTGAAATGCAGGACCTCTAGACTTTTTCTTTCCCTCTGCCATCAGACTCCTAAACAGCTGAGGAATTTATTACCAGGAAATACGTCATGTACTGTGGACCTGTACTGTGGACCTGTACTGTTTACATTCTCAGTTTGCACATGCATAATTGCACATTGACTGTTGACTGCTGCACTTGATGCTGCCATGCAGCATACACTCTCTTAGTAGATTCTTATATATTATATATTATACTGCTGCATTTGCTGCTTAAAGTGCCTTAGATTTTTTGTTACTTATTTATCTACTTTATATTTCATTTGTATTTTGTGGCATTCATGTGGATGGCAAAGTAAGAATTTCATTGTACAGGGAAACATGTTTCCAAACTGTGCGTATGACAAATAAACAAAAACATATCAACCATATAAAGGCTATAAGTGATGTATTATTTCAGCTGAAAAACTTTACCATCTTATTTACACGGAAACATAATTTTAAATTAAATACACGGTACATTTTGCTCTGGTAATCCAACCCTCCAGTGGAATCAAGGTAATACAGTTTTTTTTGGATCAAACTAATCCCAATCCTGTGATTTTGTTTTGAACTAACATTTTTTTTATGGATAAGATCCAGATGAAAGCTTGGATTAGATTTTCTGATTCACTCAGATATGTGAGTGATCCCAATCCTGACTTTTGGTTTTGAACTACCCATAATCCAAATCTGATCCACGCAGATAAAGAACTTCTGGGCCCTGTTACTCTAGATCACTGACTGTATAAAGGAAGGACAGCCTGATAGTTCCCAGAAGTGAAGCCAGCACAAGTTGATTGCCCCCTGGTGGCCAGTTGCAGTATAGGCTGTGCTAATGCTTGGAAAATGAGCTCCAAATAAAAGCTCTTATTTTTCCCAGAGTGAATTCAGTTTTTTTCTGGTGAGTTTGTTTTTAATAAGTTATTCGATGATATAAAAAGGGGTGTATTTCAGGAGATTTGACAGGTTTGATTGGCAGTCTGATACATCACTCAACTACTAGTTGCTACTGCACCACATCTGGTTGCAAAATGCCAAGATGGCAGACACTGTACTTACAATATTTTGGCTTTATTTTTGCATAGTGGCGCGAAGTGGTGACACGTCGTCCATTGTACTATATATCCAGTCAATAGTCCAGATGGCATGACAATGCAACATTCTTTTGTTGTTAGGTCAACTGTACTAATTCCTTTCGGTCATAATTTATTAAATAATAAATGTGACTAGTCTGTTTACCTGGTGGTGTTTAAGATCACATAAAGCATTCATTTTCTAGTGAATCGCTTTAGCTTCCTGATGACCTTAAACGTGACCCCAGCTTTGCCACTTTCAAATCAAGGCTGAAAACTCTGCTGTTTTCAAATCAAGGCTGAAAACTCTTTGAAACTCTGTGCCTTTGATTGATTGGTTTCTCTGATTCACTTTTTTCCTCTGTTGCATTCATGGAAACTTACATCTTATTACTGGATTTGAACTGCACTGTAGTTGTATTTCTTCTAAATTTCCTTTGTTGTACTTTCAGCTTTATACTTTCCTCAATTTTAACATTTAATCTGTGTTTTGTCTTAATTTAGTTTATTCTTTTTGTGTTTGTTGTTTTTCATGGCTGTGTACTTTGAATTGTCTCTATGTATTACATGTACGATATAAATTAAGCTAGTGTGACTTGCCTTGCCTTTGACTTCTTTGGGATAACACACCATAGACATGGGGCCGGAACCCTATGGAGCTAAATGGGGCCATATATTTTGTCAATATGAAAAACAAAACTGCAACTGAAAAACTAAAGTCTGAAATGAAAGCTAAAGCATTGATCTTAAAATAAATAAATAAAATAAAATAGCGCATCAAATGTTTTTGTTTAAATGCAATTTTGATTCATGTTCAACTACAAAAATGTTTTAAGTTCCAGACCTTATCTTTTCTGTTTCAAATCTTTTCTTTTCAGTTTCATATTTTTGGCCTTCTTCTGGTGCAGGAGGCGGGGCTAACAGAAATGGACCTATCACAGAAGGTTGACGATGGTAACCTCAATCTTGTTGCCTCCAGGAAATTTGGGAACTAGGAATATTCTAAATTGGAATTTCCTCCACTACACATTCAACTGGTTGGTGTGGACATGATGAGAACCAAGGAGAAAGTTGTGTTTCTGGGGCAGTTTTAAACCTGTCATGACAGTAATCACAGTTGAAAAGCAATCACTATTGTTTCATGAGACAGTTTAATGGTCACACTTGTTAACAAGATATTTCCCACTTACACATGCATATGTAAATGCAGCATTAGTTGCACAGGCTGGGTTGGAGCATAATTACCTTGGTCCCTTCCATAAATATGTAACTACAGATACTGTACTGGGGCTTATGCTTATGCATCTCACCATGTAATGCTGTCATTCTTGCCTGATCTCGCCAGTTCAAATAGTAGAAAACATAATGGCATTTGCTCCGTAAGGACGTCCGCTTGGAGTACAGGTAAGAAATGACTGCTAATATACTTTCAGTTATTATCCAACATACTAATCCACTGGAATTTAAGCATGTAGCTAACATTAGGCATACCAGTTTAGCAAGTAATAAACATCTTATCTTCTCATAATGTTTGCTAATGGAGTGCAATGTAACATTAGCAATCTTCTATTAGCCTCATGCTTAAATTCGCCGGCTTGGCCTTTTCATTGGCAAACATCTGTCTGTAGTATTTAGCATAACAAATCTGAAAAATTCTATTTCAAACATTAACCATCATTTCTTATCTGTATTTGAGGTGGTCGTCCTCATGGATTGGACGCCATCATTACCAAGAGCCCTAATGTCTTTTCATAGATACAGGCTGGTAAATTGAGAAATTCAGGCCCCTTTACCTTTTACACATTTTACTGTGTAATGAATTCAGTTTTGAATGGATCCAGTCTTTTCCCCCATGTATACACTGTGTGCCTACACATATGGACATAATCAGTCAGTTTAAATGAAGGCAAACTCAAATTCATTCTTTAATCTGCATTATTTCTCTCAGTCTATTAGTCTGTGGTGAATTTAAACTTTTTCTGTGGTTGTTTATAAAGGCTGTCTCCATCTCCTTCCTGGGCCAACAATACTAACTCTTCTGTTCTCCTTCTGCCAACATGAAGCAGTGGCAGTTACAGAGCATCAGAGTGAACAGAGAACAGAGAGATGGTGAGAGAGAAGGGAGTCAACAGAGAGATGGATGCAGCAGTGTTGCTGAAGTGAGGGGGCAGTGTAATGATTAGATCATAGATACCGTTGAGCCTTCCTCTAGTCCTACAAAAAAATTTGGAAGCGCACTTGGCGGAGAGGAAGGCCTGCAGGTGTAAATAGCCCCAGTGACTGAGGGAGTGCATTAGTAGATCACCAGAGTCTATGGAAAAAGAAGCCTATTCTGCCTCTTCTGTTCACCTATGACAAGAGACAGGCTTGTGCTAGATTTAATCTGAGCTGCTGCCCATTGTAGCTGTCTCTAAGATTTCCTAAAGATAATGTTTGACTGTTCAGACACTGCAGACATTTTAGGAAGGAGCAGAGGAGGGGAAATATTATGGTTCCTACTAGAAATTGAGAAATTCATGATAGGCAATGTGGTGACTTATTTTAAAATGTATTTTATAATAATTTCATTAGATATTTGGGGTTTGCCTAACCTTAACCCTACATCCTAGGAAAAACCTGAACTGTATCCTACTTTAGTGTGCATCATTAAGGCATCTTCTCTCCCTTACAACAACTAATCTGTGGCTGATGCCTCTTTCATACTGTTCACCTCTTAATCAGCATCACCAAATTTCAACAAGTTGAAAGTGACTGCTAGGAGAGGAAGAGGCATTTAGGATGCTTCCATCTAGTGGTTATTCAAATAAGCTCTTAAAACAAAACAGAGATGTCACAATGCAAAAAGTTCTTTAAAACCATTTCTAAAGTTCAGCAGTTAAATAATAACATGACAGCACAAGAACTGTTGTCATATGTGATAGAGGCACATGGCAGCCGGTTTGGCGAGGGGTCACTAATGGCTTTCAAACATAATGGCTCCATTATATGCATACAAAACCATATATTTACAGTACAATAAATTCTGACTTACATTAACAAATGATACTTATGGCAAAATAGTCACCAGTCAAATACATCAACAGAATAAAGATGTCATGGGAAGAGGACAGCTCTGAAAGGAAATTCTGACCAGTGGCAGTTTCCCCTGGTTAGCAACATCAGTGGTATTTAAACTTAAAGTGAAACTCCAACAATGTCTAAGTACACCATGTTTTCAGTTAAGTGGAAAACTAAGGGATGCTATGCTCAAACATATCATTGTATTATCTGTACATTGCATGTTAAATTATTACAGTTTGAGATGAATGATTTTTCAAAAGTCATGCATCAGTGTGAGTGGAAATCTAGGTACGTTCCCTCTAACTCTTCTGTATCTGAGTTGAGAAGAACTCATGGAACATAGGCAAAGAAAAACTTCAGACTAAAGAAAGTGGTCGTGTTTTAACCATCTTCATATGACCGTATGACATCTGGGGGGCTGGAGACAATCCCAGCCAGCCAGGCAAGTAGTAGTTATGGTTAATATTAGGGTAAGTCTCCAGGAATCTAAATTAAAGTAAAATCACTAGAAGTTATGGAAGCACAACAAGTGTGTGTGTGTGTGTGTGTGTGTGTGTGGCCTCGATTTTCTATACTTGTATGGCCTGAAATCCATGAGTTACTATGTTCACACACTGGAGGCTGGTCCACATGATGTAGTTCATCTATTTTTTCAAAAGGAAGGGATGTAAAGTTAGAGCAAGTGTTGGCTTTGGTTAAGGTTAGGGTAAGTCTCCTGGAAATGAATTCAAGTTTATATAGGGATGAAAACAAGTGTGTGTATGTGGTGATGAAGGTCTGAAGAGGAGGAGAGGTGGGTGGTGTGTGAAGCTGGGTCATCAAGTCCTCATTTATCATCTACATGAATGGAATGAACACACAAGCAAGGTCAAAGCTGACTGAGATCCCTTCAGAGTGTGAGTCTTTTCCAGCTCAGATGACTCTACTCCCACCAGGGGTGGTGGGAGGGATGGATGGATTGGGGTATGGAAGAGTGCCATCTGAGTGTCTACTTCTGACAGCTTTGCGACAGCCAGCTTGGCAAATGGAAACATTTGGGAGTTAAGGGCTCCGGCTGGCTGGGGCAAAGAGAAAGAGAGAGCAAAGGCTGAATTATGAATGGATGGACGAAGATGGGGAGCAAGGAGGGATGTCTGCTGAAGGCATGTGCCCCAATGACAGAAAAGCTGTTAGTTGCACACTATAGCACACTGTGGCCTTTTCTCTCCCAAAAGCATATGTTTGTAGGCAACAAGCCTCCATGAAGGAGAGTGAAGTCAAAAGTAACACTGCAGCATGCAGTTGGTGTACAAGTCCTCGCTGTTTCTCAGTGATATTTGCTCACTTTGCTTAACCAACTGCCACTATTCCTCTTTTGCTATATTCTTCTTCCCATGCTGGACCTTTCACTCCTCAATCTCTTCTACGTACGTGGATGGAAACCAGCCGACCTGAGGGAAAAAGATATGGGAATAAGTAAAGCCCCTTTCAGACATGCATCCCCATTCAGAAGTTTGCCTACTATTTCATGGCATCATGTCTAAACAAAGCCCTGAGTTACGTCGCTGGCAAAGTGTTACTGGCAATTTTACCTGGTTGTACCTTGTCAAATAGCCAGCTACATTCTTATCGGCAGCTCATACTGAATGTCCTTTAGTACATTTTCTAACAGGTCCCATGAATAATAATGTAGAGTTTACATGCTAACAATGGCGAATGAAAGACATAAGAATGGTAACCAGTGGTGGGAAGTAACTAAATGCCTTTACTAAGTATTGTACTGAAGCACTGAGTTGAAATGAGTGATTATTTGTACTGTAGCCTAGTCATTTTTAAATAAAATCACAGCAGAAACTTGTCATGACCATTTCCTCCAGAGCTTTTTGAGCTTGACACTGATGTGAGTTGATGGAGTTTCTTTTGATGGACTACCTTATTATTTCACTCAATGTTTAGAAGCAGCAGCTTTATTTTATTTTTATTGTAACATTGTGACACCTACATGAAATTTTGTTTGGAGCCGAGGGGCCCCGAGCCACTGCGTACATACGTGTCACTATCACGGGCAACTTAGGGGGTTCGGTGTCTTGCCCAAGAACACTTCGACATGTGGACTACAGGCACCGAGATTCAAACCCTCCACCCTCCGGTTGGGAGACGACTGCTCTACCCACCGCACCACTGTCGCCCCCCTCTAAATAGAATTATTGTTATACATTTTTTGAAGTTTTTTTGGGGCACATGTCGCATTTATTACTCAGCAGGTCATGGAGCGGCAGACAGGAAACAAGAGAGAGAGAGACAAATGTCAGGAGTTGAGCTTGAACTGCCGACACTGGACGCACTGTGTGTGTGTATGTGGTAAATTATTTTACTCGTTAATCCGTCATTGGTTAATCTGTTCTGCTTCTTACTCAGATGAAGGTCTCATTAGCTAATTTTATGATAAGGAATTATTGCCATGTACTGCTGGAAAGCACTAATATAATAAATATATAAAATAATAATAAATAACTAGTGCACATTGTCCTTCTGGGTTTTATATCATACTTTCTTACTCTGGCCATAGATCATGTCCTAAATCTCCCACTATCTGGTATTAAAAGGCTCTCGGATGCCTTGAATTTAACAGAGTGAGTCATGCAGACACAGGCATTACCTGGAAGCCGATATAAAGCACAAAAATAATAAATATATAAAATAATAATAAATAACTAGTGCACATTGTCCTTCTGGGTTTTATATCATACTTTCTTACTCTGGCCATAGATCATGTCCTAAATCTCCCACTATCTGGTATTAAAAGGCTCTCGGATGCCTTGAATTTAACAGAGTGAGTCATGCAGACACAGGCATTACCTGGAAGCCGATATCTGCCCTAAGAGGAGACTTGCATATTTTACTGGCATTTTAAAGCTGCCACTTACCCTGCCGTTGACCTCGCCCCTCCACCAGCCATTAGCTCCTGACTTTGTGTAGATCTTAACCACATTACCCTCCTGCAACGAGAGCTCCCGTGTGTCACGAGAGCTGAAGTCATACCGCGCTAGGGCCACACCGATCACTTTGGAAGTAAACACTAGAGACAAAGATGGGGCAAAAAAAAAGAGGTGGCTGTTCAAAGATGTGACATTTTATTCAATCAACATTCAAGAAGAAAAGAGTTTTAAAACATTATTTTCAATGTCAACACACACTCGTGTACACTCACAGATGGAGATGGGTGACATTTAATTTTGTCAACCAGCAAAACCTTTTCATTGCTTTCTTCACCTTTTCTTCTTCTTCTTGGTAATAGTTGTAGATTAGCATATTACAAAAAAATCTCAAATAAACGTCCATATATTTGAACTGCTGACATCAGGTATTTTAAATTTAGCCTAGAGATGTAAAATGACCACAAAAATGGCCATTAAGAGGCAAAAAACAACCACAGACATTCAAATTCACCACACAGAGACAAAATACTACCACAAAGAACACAACAAGACAAAATGGCGAACAAGAGATGCAACATGCAAAGACTACCAGTGATAGTCTGTCACTGAGCAGAGTTACAAATAGCAGCTATTTATTGATATTTATTCATTCATCTTAGAATATTTTAATGCTGTAATAACATTTTACTGTCAAGAACCTGGGTTTTAAATCTGAAATCTCTGTAAGGTATACTAACTTTACAAATGTGCTCCCCTTCATTAAAACTGTGCGTCCAGCACAACATTCAATAGTTTGATTTGATTTGATTTATTTATTCTTTCAAGCATGTAAAGACAGTTGATATATCAACACACATAATTTTACACATATCCAACAAATGCTAATCCAATATCAATTTGCTTATACCTAGTACATGCTTGAATGGAGTAGGAAGAAGTCAGACTTATCCAGTCCTACCCCATGAATACAGCAGACAAGAAGGATCTAATGGTACTTACTGATCTCTGGTCAGGTTCAGGTGATGAGCCCTTCTCTGCAATTCTTCTCCTGTAAGACAGAGTCCAGAATTATTTCTGAAAAACAGTTGCTATTTTTAAAAACATATCATCATGTTTAATGTTAATATCATAAAGCACAGACCACACAATTCCTCCTGAACTCCACATTTTTAAAACCTAAATTCCTTAGATTTCTCTAGATCTTACAGTGATACTTCTCTGTCAGCAACAAAGTGCATTTAAATTACGATTTTACTACATATCATCTCATAATACTGAGGAATAGTGAGAGTGATGAGTACATGAACTTATTCTTCAGGTGGCACAACAAAATCCATTGCGACCAACATTGGGGTTTGCTAAATCTACTGTATGGCAACTGTGTCAAGTTTCACTTTTCTGTAGTATATGAAACAAGATCTGAAATTCATTCATATGACTCAAGTGCCTATTTTGAGACGTACTGAATCGAAGAGTAATATATGATGTGTCGCTACCTCCTTGCTAACAGGGCACTCATCTCCTCCATGAGCCCTCCTCCTCCAGGCAGAGGGCCGTTGCCTCTGGCTTCAGATTTGGCCCCTCCAGCCCCTGGCATGGCTGCTGCCAGAGCGGCCGCCGCCT